GCGCTGCACCGTTGCTTTACTAGAATTCTCATTTGATGCCTCCTACAACACTCTGCTATGGGTATTGTCATCCCCTACCTCCCTCCATCCTACAGGTGAGGAAACCAAGGTTCAGAGAAGTCAAAGACCCTGCCTAAAATCATACACCATTAAATGCCAAAGCCTGAATTCAAGCCTGGTCTTCCTATCTCTGTATCTGCACTCTTCACCACCATGCGACAGTGGAAGGGAAGAATGGGGGTGGGAGTGAAAAAATGGCATTCCTTTCTCCTAATGTAGATATCAGTTAGAATCCAGAAAAGAACCATTGAAGGTTCTTTGCTTCATCTGAAAGTTACCAACCCGTGAGTGTGCACACGTACACCCAAGACACACAAGCATGTACACACACACACATACACACATGCTGCAAACCTTCCCAAACTGTAACTGTCCCCTAGGCCATATGTGGGCTTTTCTTAAAGGTCACCCAACAGGCTCCAAGGAAAAGAAGGGCTTGGTCTAAAAAGTTTTATATTTCCTTTCACTTTTTTAAACATTGGAAAATCCATTTGGCTCAGAGAAATGAATAGTAAAAGGAGTTCTAACTACTTAGAGCCAACAAAATGTAATGGAAAAAAGGCAAGAATATGGCTGAACTTTATTTTCTTTTTGCTCAGCACATCCTGTCTTTAATCTGAAAGGTAAATAGGCCATGCCAAACATACCAACTCTCTTCAGGTGAAATAATCTAGGTTATAAAAACAAGCAACAACTGTGTTTTCATTATTCCTTAATTCGTGGCTGACAGAAATAGCTTCCAAAATAAATCAAAGAGGCAAATATTGCTCACAAGGGAGCAAACCCACAAATTTTCCCTCCTTTGATAACTGACTTTTGTGAATTTTTTTTCTTTCACTTAAACTATAATTGCATGGTATTATCTGAAAGAGTGTGTTGCAAAAGCCAGAAAAAGAAAATCTGAATTTTCATATTTGGGTTATTTAAATCCACAGGCAAGAAAGAGAGTGTGAGAGACTTTTTGCATATGATTCATTAGTAGACTAACATCCTTGAGATATTTAACCTTCAACTACAAGAACAACTAATTTTGCAACACCTCTCTCCGTAACCCCAAAATATCAACTTCTTTGGTTCCATAATACACCTATGATCTATGACTTTAGTCATGCTAGTGAAAGCTATGCCCTTTTTTGTCCTGTATATTCAGCTTCCCTTGCTTTATACTACACTTTCTTCTGCATATCAAAGCTGAGAAAATAATCTAACAGAAACCAACTTCACAAATCAAACATGTTAAGTTTCCTTTAACAAGAAACTAGATATACTGATGGATTATTTGAAGCAACATCCAACACATTCCTTTCTCTGGATCTCATTTAAATTAAGAATTACCTACATGGAAAAATTTAAAGCAGTATTCTTCAGAGCACTGGTTGTGGGGAAGTTAATAGGTATTCCACTGGAAAAGGTGGCCTGGTCAAATGGAAATGCCTCTTCGGAGAAGTTAAACAGGGTCCCCTTATCTTCCTTTTAACCACAAGATTTCACAGAGCCTCTAAAATGTAAATATGCATTACATCCCTCCAAGAGAGGAAGAGAGAACAGACCAGTTTCCAAGCTAATTTGACTCTGGAACACTTTTTTCAAGGATCATCTCTGTTTCACAGAGCTGGAGGTCCATGGAACACATTTGGGCATGCGGGAGGGTGGGGAGCATGGCACCTATTTAAAGGCCAGGACTCCCTAAAGATAGGGAATGAGCTGGCTAACATCCAATGGTCAAGTCAGACACTCCACATCTGTCCATTCTGCACACCCGGAGCACACTGATCTTGGAAACAAAACAGTTGAAGCTCACAGCAAAGTGGTCAAAGATACTTCTTAGGGAAGATAGGACAAGGATAGAATGTATGAAAAGCTGTAATAAATGGATGAAAATATACCAGTATACCACCACTTCTAGCAGAGGACCGCTACATTTGAACATTCCCCTGATGGGGGAGAGGAGAGAACTATCTCAAAACCATTTTAAATATATGGTACGCACAAGAAGTCTTTCCCAGCCAATAATCGGGACACATCATCCAATTATAATGAAAACTGGAAATCAGTAGTATATGACATATTAAAAAATGTCACAAATTCCTTTCCAGCCTTGAAAATACAAAACGCATCTGATATCTTTAATTTGAATGCAAATTAAAATCTGGGGGATTAGACACATTTTTAAATAGTCATTTAAAAAGAAGAACTAAGAGCTCTAAGAAAAAAAGTTAGAATAGTATTTCAGGTGAGTCTTACATCAATTGCAAACTTACAGACACTAATGTAATCAAAACACACAGCGTACTCTTTTGGCAGATCATAGGGAATGGGGTATCAGGAAGCCAGGGAAGGTTAATGTTTATAGACGTGAAAAGTTCCCAAGTTGGAGGGATTCCGAAAATAACAGGCCATTTGACTTTCTGCTTTTGAGCACTTCCCAACAATGAGGAAGTATGAACCTAGATGACAGAATAATCTAATTGTACTAACTCCTACCCCCAAATTGCTGAAGCAGAAAGGAGAACCAGTCATGCTGCTTTGGAATGGAACTAAGATCTATTGAAACAATAATATGTCACTGTCAGCTCCTTGTGAACATGAAATAATAGGAAATACAACCTCCGTGTACTCTACCCAACACTGACACACAAATCTGAATTCCACACTATTAAATCTCATTGCAAAATCTGAATTCTATACCCTGCTTGTAAACATCAGTAACCCTCAGACAAAAATTTCCATCCTGGCTTTCACCAAATGTTGCTTCTGACTCATTTGTTTCAAGGATTAGCAAAGGTCCGAAACATATGTGAGAAAGTCAGAGAAATCACTGTTTTGAAGCACGGCATCAAGAAATAAAGTAAGACCAAAGGAAACTGAAGCTGCCCCTGGATGACAAGGCCATTTCCTCATCTCCTATAAAGCAACGCTGACAAGATGACGAAGAACCAGCACAAATATCACCCAGTGAGGCCTCCTCCTGACCCCCCTACTCTAATGCAACATCCCCTGGCCCTGCACTCCTAACCTCTTGCTCTGTTTTTTTACTAAGCCCTTATTACCCAGTATAATATGACTTTCCTATTTATTATGTTTATTTCGCAACTTCCTTCGATAGAAGATAAGCTCCTAAGAACAAGGATCTCTGCTGGGTTTTATTTCTTTAACTGATAAATCCTGGTACCTGGAACAATTCCTGGGACACAGTTGCTGCTCACTAGATATTTGCTGAATGAATGGAGAAATACTATTCTTTGCGATATTTGGATCCTAGAGTTCAAAACATGAGGAAAAGATTTTAGTCACTTTCCTTTTTACCTAAAAGTCATTCCAAGTCTCTCTCCCAATCTTAATGAAAAAAAAATTTTTTAAGAAAATTGATATAAACTAGCTTGAAAATGTGTCATGTTGATTAAATTAACTAACAAAATGAGATGGAATAAAATTTATTTCACCTTAACTTCTTATCTGCTAAAAAAAGTAAGCTCTGTAAACATGGCTCTTTATAAACAATTCCACTTCCTAAGCGATTCCTTTCTCCTTACTCTCCGTAATTTAAACACTGATCACTGCAACTAAACTATTCAATTTCCTGTACAAGTCAAGACATTAAACCCACATTTGTCTGGTGATTATTGTACTTATTGTATAATAACTACTAACATTCTGCCCATACAAAGCCTACCAAAGCAAAGATAAATGGTAAATATTGTAATTTAGGCACCAGGCCCTCCCCTCTACCATGCCGAGATGCCCAGCACTCTTCCTGGCTGACTCTTAATCCATCCTTAGTTTAAAAGCGTAGTTGATTAAATACATACAAGAGAGAGGCAGGTACCATAAATAGAGGAAGGATCATCTACTTCTGGGCCTATGAATACAGACCCAGAGTAGCTATATCTTACCACTTTTTCATTGTTTCATGAAAAATTTATAAAATTTGTCATTTGCAATTTCCCAGTTGGGGATTCAAACAAAAATGTGTTGAGGCCAGACTTAGCCCATAGGCATCAGTTTGCACTCTCTTGTTTAAAGCCTCAGCTCAGAGATCACTGCCACCAGGAAGCCCCCTCCCTCCTCCACCCCCAGCGTGGTGAGCCACCCACTCGGGGGTGTGCCACCTCTAGCCATCCCTGCCTCACCAAACTCTCGTACAGTTCTTTCAACATGTTCATCTTCCCCATGGGAAGTATCTTATTCATCTTTATATTCCCAACACGCAGCAGAGTGCCAGGCACATAGTAGGAGCTCAAAAAATGATTGAATAAATGAAAATTTGAATAAGACCACCTGGGTTCACACTTCCAGTAGTCACTTGAACTCATCAATCTGTTTCCTATCTTTACACCTTAACCAACGGACCTTCAGGGAAACGTGCAATAAAGGTCATGGGCATCGATACCAAGAGTCAGACTAAAAGAGACAAGCCCACCTCTGGAGATTTGTAGGGTTTTCTTTATCATGAGGAATAAGCAGCATTCAGCACATTGTGAAAACAGAAAACAAAAAAAAAAAGGAGACACAACAAAGTAAAACAGTTGTATGCCATGTGCTTTGCAGGAGATGAGCAAGTATATGAAAGAAAATTCAGTAAATTGCTACCTGATTTCTTCATCATTCAAAGTACCTGATGAGCTTCTTACAGATGGTAGTTAACTAAGGCATGTTAAAAATGTCTCTATTTTGTTCCTTACCTGGAACTTTAAGACTCTGCTTATTCAACCAATAATTAAATTTCACACACAGATTACACTTTGCCTAAAAACAAGTAAATATCAGATTTACCATTCAAGATACTATTTGGAAACAGATCCAAATGTGGAATTGTTCTCCAAAGCAGGATCATACTGTAGCAAACCTTGGCTTCTCAGTAAGCCACAGAAATGTATCCTGTACTTTTATAATTCTTCCCTTTGTATGCTCTCATGATGAAAGCTTCAAGGAAAACTTACAGCTGTGCAAAAGATGCACTGGCATTCCTGTAGTGTGGTCATCTTGTCCAGAGACTGTTCACACAGACAGAGTTTGCAAGTGACGAGGGGGGCCAGCGCCAGGTCTTCCGGTGTCGGGTTTTCGGCGGTCATGGTGAGATAGTGGAGCCTACCAACTGAGCCCATCAGCCTGTCTTCAGCCTTCTTCAGTCTCCTCAATCCCTACAGAAAGGTCCAAAGCAGAAAATATTATATCCTTTGATACAGCCATTGTTTAACCAACACGTTTGGGTGCCAGCCGAGCAAATCCTCACCCTCAAAGATCTCTAAGCATACAGCAAATGCATTTCTGAGAAGCACTGGCTAGAGAGCGTGCCACCTTGGCAAGGTGTTCCTGGAGTCCTGATATTTAAGGTGACTTCACTGTTCTGATTCCTATCATGTAAACTATGGGAATTAAAAGACCATTATGAACAAACACGCTCTTTAGGAGGCACATCGTTATAATCAATTCAACAGATTCAAAAAATACTTAAAAATAGGATGTCACTCAAAAAGTTAAACAAAGAATTACCATAATTATCCAGCAATTCCAATTCTAGGTGTATATCCCAAAGAATTGAAAACAGTGACTCAAACAGATATTTGCACACCAACATTCATAGTAGCATTATTCACAATAGCCAAAAGTAGAAACCATCCAAATGTGTGTCAATGGATGAATGGATAAGCAAAATGTGGTATGATGATTATTTTCTTCATTTTATTGATGAATTGAGGTCCTGAGAAGTTAAGCAATCTGCCAAAGTTCTCAGAGCTTGTGTATGGCAGAGCAAAACTCAAAACCTCCAACTTCGAGGCCAAGCCCAGTGCCTGGTCCATTACACCAGAGCTGCCTCACAAGGAGATATTACATGGAAGGATGGAGCAGGGAGAGAGAGAAAAAAAAAAGAGAGAGAGAGATGAAGTTCATGACTACAGCAATCCTTAAAGTCATGGAAGTTGCACAGAAATAACATTTATCTCCACACATAGCCTGACTATAAGAAAGGATATTTCAATACTGAAAAATAAAAGTTGTAACTAAAACCCTTCCACTAGGTTGTTTTTATTCAGAATATTTATCTTTAAGAGGTAAAAGTAATTGTGAAAATAATCTTCCTGCATATCATATTCTATATCACATTAAGAAGTTTCACGTTCTGATTAAATAAAAGCAAAATCCTAACGTTCTTAGAATCTTAAAAGAGTATGGCCAATTTTAATAAATTCTCGCATAGAAATAATTGTAAATATCCTCTACCCCTACAAGAACCAGACTATTTTCCTCCCAATTTTTAGGCAAAAGAAATTAGTTTACATGCTCAGCATTGGCTGCAGAGTCCCACAATGGCTTAAGTCTTGTGGTACCAAAGTACTAAACAAGTCAGGGAAAAACAAGTTGGATTAGACAGAATGAAAAAACAAATCTGAGATCTAACAGCACATTCTTAACGTCATACCAGAAAGAGTCAACAGTTACTAACTGTAGTAACCCAAATTGTTGAAGGTTTTTCACCTACTCCCTGAGTACTAGAAGACTTGATTAAAAATAAACAGAAAGCTAACCAACGACTGGCTTCCAACATATTATTTCTTGAGAAAGGTCCAACAAGGTTTAAGACACAGTGTCCACCTTATTCAATTAAGTACTGATGAGCTATCACCTAAGCGCAAATTCAGTTCATATCAACCTACATTAAATTCAGAATTTTGAAGTTTAAAAAAAAATCCCTCTTGGGGGCCGGCCTGGTGGCGCAAGCATTTAAGTGTGCGTGCTCCGCTGCGGCTGCCTGGGGTTCACCGGTTCGGATCCCGGGCACGCACTGATGCACTGCTTGTCAAGCCACGCTGTGGTGGCGTCCCACATAAAGCAGAGGAAGATGGGCACGGATGTTAGCCCAGGGCCAGTCTTCCTCAGAAAAAAGAGGAGGATTGGCATCAGATGTTAGCCCAGGGCTGATCTTCCTCACACACACACACAAAAAAAATCCCTCTTTAGGGTCAATTATGGGTAAAAATGAATGATTCTACCTCTCCCATCTTCCCAGTTTATGAAACAACTAACACCTATTTGTTCCTTCAAGACGCCCCAGTTCACAGCACACACAGTCTCATCAACCTCCTCCAACTACCGTCCACTCATCTCTATGTTCTCAACACTGCTCATACAATATACGCTAAGTGATCTTCCTCCATGAAAAGAGAAATCCTAAGTCAAACAAGAAGGAGAAATGTAGCCAGTAAATGCTTCCTGAATAAGAAAAACGGGAAATGACACAGGCCAGAGCCATCCCACACCACAAATGTCAATTACACTTAAGAGCCCATTTGGAGGAAGCTGCTGTGAACAGATAAATCTCGTTGTTCGAACCTAGCAAGAGATCCAGGTACTTTTCAAGAAAGTTAATGAATTCTCACAGTCTCAACCTATATTATTTTTTAGAAGAAGACATTAAACGGGCCAAATTTTTAATGTACTCGAAAAATGAAGACATAATTGAATATCTCAGAACACATTTCTTAGAAATGGTCTTTTGAAGGCAGAACTAGAAACTGGGTTAATCAAGGCCATTTGGAACAAAATCTTGTCTCTTGCCATACACATACGTTTTTACTCCGTAGTTTGTGAGTTACATGCTTATAGGCCATGAAATCAAAGTTATAAAAATATAAATACATGCATCACCTCCAAAAGTTTCCTCCTGCCCTCTTTACTTATCATTATTTTGTGTGTGTCATAAGAACACTTAACATAAGATCTACTCTCTTAGCAAATTTTTAAGTATACAATACAGTATTCTTAATTATGAGCATTACGTTGTTCCTGCCCTCTTTATTTATCATTATTTTGTGTGTGTGTCAAAAGAACACAACATAAGATCTACTCTCTTAGCAAATTTTTAAGTATACAATACAGCATTCTTAACTATAAGCATTATGTTGTTCCACAGGTATATATTTGTCTCTAAACTCGAGTTGTATACATTAAATATGTACAGCTTTTTATCTGTCAATCATACCTCAATAAAGTGGCTTAATATATATAAACTTAAAATATATTTTATATATAAAAATATTTTTATGACATAAATAACTTTTACAAAGCAGAGACCTATTTGGTTAAAAAAAAAATTCCAAGGGGCCAGCCCAGTGGTGTAGCAGTTAAGTTCGTGCATTCCACTTTGGCAGCCTGGGGTTCTCCGGTTTGGATCCTGGGCACAGACCTACACACCGCTCATCAAGCCATGCTGTGGTGGCATCCCATATAGAAGCGCTACAACTCTACAACTATGATACACACAACTATGCACTAGGGCTTTGGGGAGAAAAAAGTAAAAGATAAGACTGGCAACAGATGTTAGCGTAGGGCCAATCTTCCTCAAAAAATAAAAATTCCAAGCATTCCAATCTCCGCAGTACTTGAGACTCAGTGAGATAGAGGAAAGAAGTTACATATTTCTTCTCTTTGAGATGTGAACAATCCAAAATGATCCTTCAAAAAGGAGTGATTTATTTTTCTGTGTACACTAATACCAATTCCCTAAAGTGACGGCTTTCAAACATTTTTAAAGCAATGGAATTTTATGAAAACAAAATCTTAAGTAAAACGCCACCATATAAAAGAGAGAAGGTAGATGAGTGCTGGTTGAAACACTACTGAGAGACCCAGGCCAGGTCTGTTGACCTTTCCCTCAGCAGCCTCCCAGGCACCATCACAGAAGCCGAAGGCTTCACCACGCACAGTTTGAAAACCAGCCCTTTGGTTTTTCACTCTGGGCAAAATTAATAATGAATGTTTTAAAAAATGAATGACACTTAGTGAGCATTTCATTAAAAAAGATTATCAAAGAAAAAATCTTTTAATCATTGATTCGTTAGAAATCAAGCTCTTCAAGCAATAATCAGGAGAATCCTGAAGTTCTCCAGTGAATTCTCCCACACTTGAGATGTATGTGAAAGGCTCGAAGGTGTCCTAGTGTTTCTTCACTTATGTCTTATTAAGATTCACTGGTCTCCACAACAGAAAACGACTCATAGTAGATACTCACTCCCCATCCAAACTACTAGTAAATGGCACAGAGCTCAGAGCGGGTGCCCACAGGAAGACTGACCACACACTCGCAGCTCCTCTTGACGCTTTTATGGGGCCCCATTTTCATAGGTACACTGACAACTCACATCCACTCCTCTCCAGGTTTCAAGAAAAATCTTCCTTCCAGAGAGCCGATAACTCATTCTTACTGGCTTGCTCAACTTGTTTTGCCTCATACCTCACATTTTACCTAAAATAAGAAAGTGATTTGAATGTTCCACCCTACTGCTTGATTTAAAACAGTAACAATTATAATTACTTTTACAGTTATTACAAATTTGACTGAGACTCTGATTGGGTGTCAAGAACCCAATGGGAGAATTTTGGCAGAGAACGCAAGGGGCACGTTTGAAAGAAGAGAAAGCTCACAGCTGCCTTCAGGTTTAAACTTTCTAAAGTTGGTGGCAGGCTTGGGGGTGAGGGCAGACTTCACCCAAATTATAGGAGTATCACTTGCTTAAACATAGCTGACCACATAACAGGACAGATTGGCTGGGGCATGCAAGGAAGGAAAGCCCCTCTAAAACATCTGATTTTGCACTAAATTACCAGGAAAGGGGAATCAGCAGCTTGACCTACCCTCTGGGTATCCCTTGCACTATAAAGTGTTCATTATACGAGAAGCAAGTACTATCTGATAGGAAAGAATGGAAAAGTCACTTTCCCTCATGTGTTTTCATTAGAATTGCCAAAGAAAGGAACACTTCAGAAGCTGGGCTGGAAGCACAGAATGTATAAGGAATTTTCATATTCTGCTGGCGGCCTGAAAAAGCAATTTGCTCCAAAAATGCAGACAGTGGGAGAGCCAACATTCAAAGTATTTTTAACTAGTGTAGTTTATGCCTGTTTCACTACTCAAAATCACAGCACTTATTCCACTGCACAAAAAGATAATGTGATTGGAAAGGATAATGTTTTACTGGGATACTTATCCAGTTATTTAGGAATTTTTACACCATGCTGCAAAAAGTTTAAAATTTAGATAAATTGATAAAGCCCAATTAAGAGACTAAGAGAAATAGAAAGCTACCAAAATTAATCAACTGATGCAACAGAATATTAATGTATGTAAAATTCCAGTTGATCT